CCCCAAAACCCCAAAACCCCAAAACCCCAAAACCCCAACTAAAAAATAATAATTTGAAAACCCCAATGCAAGAAAACCCCAAAAGACCCAAACAATCCACGCTCAAAGCCCAAACATCAAGTTCATCTGCTCTAAAGAAACAGCACAGAAAAGTTAAAAGTATTAAGCCTATCAAGCTTAACGGCAGATATCAAGGTAAGTTCACCGGTAGATTTATGAGTAAGAGTATATGGAAATGACCGTTTTTTGTACTTAAGAAATGGAGGGTTGTAGCTGTGATGGGATGGGGGTTTTGTAACAATCAAGTACTAGGATCAGACACCAAAATACCCAAAGACCATGCTCACAACCTGACTCTCAAGATGACTTACAATCGCGTGACTTCAGACTTAGACAAATCCACCTACTCTAATTTCGATGTACGCTCTTTGTGTGGAATTTATGTAGGAGAATCTGGAATATGATACAGTATACCTTAAAAAGAAAAAACCAGCTCATTTCAAGATTTCAAGCAAATCCTTTGACAGTAGACAAAGCGCATTAAAAGTATGTAGTTTTAATAAGACTTTATTCATCCTTTCTGTGAGACGAAAATCTTATTTCAAGAATAGTCCAGTTCGGAAATTAACATCTTAAATTAATGCAAAAAATAATTTTATTTTATTTCTAAATAAACCAAAACCTCTGAAAAATATTCATAACTCCCAATTCATCCTTTAATCTTCCCATAAAACTCCAATTACACCCACTATTATCCCTCACCCCTCATTCCTCTAGAACCACCATAAAAACTCCTCCAAAGAACCTCCCCACCACCCAGTACTCCCTTCCCTCACCTCTAGCCCAACCCTCCTCCCAAAAACATTAAATCCCTGAACCGTACCTCCCTTCTAACCCATAGGCATCCCCTCCCAGCTCCCCCACTCCAAAAACCCCACCTCCGACTTCACCCACGCTGCCCACCTCCGAGAGTACAGCCCCTGTTGACCCTATAGAAAGCTCCACAAAGAATCCGAGGCTGGGCGGCTGAACATCTCCGCCCCGGAGATGTTCAGCCCACCCACTCGGAACACTTCCTTAGTGAAGCCTTTCAAGTCGATCAGGGCCTCCCTCGGGCAGGACTATGATCGGTTCCAGAGCGTTTCATTCTCTGAAGAGAATGAGGCTGTGCGCCTGGATAAAATCCAGGCGCTGCCTGATACTGAGAAGAAGGTGAAGCGCTGTTTTGAGATCATTAAGTCTTTATAAGTGGAGAGAATAAGTGACTGAAGGATGTGGTGACTGAGATGAAGATGGTTGTGAAGGTAAGGGAGAAGGGATTAGAGGGGGAATAGGGGTGAAGAGGGAAAGGGGCTTTTGGGGGGAATGAGGCATTTTAGGGGTAATGAGGCATTTTAGGGGTAATGAGTGATTTTAGAGGGAGCTAAATTGTGCTGGTATGTGATTTGGATGATGTTAAGATAGTTTTCTTGAAAATAATGGTGCAAGGTTAAAATGTATTAGATACTAGATCTTTGTCATAATGAAAAATCTGTCAATTATTTGAAGAATCTCAAAAATTAATGAAATTTATTGTTGAATTGCTTAGTGAAACCCATAAGCTTTCGTTCTTTACCTAATCATGATTAAGGCCCAAAGATCAGAAATTCTAAGTCTGCAGAATGAGATAGATAACCTTGGTCTCAAAAGACCAAAGCTACTAACCGGAGCCCACCATTACTCAAAAATAATAGGAATTCCTAAAAATAGGAAGCAAAAGGACTCTGAAAAGGAGATACTTACCTTAAAGGAAGAGGTTAAGAAATTAAGGAAAATACTAAACTTCTACAGAGAACAGAATGGGATTCATGAAAATAGCCTCGTCAATTTTAAGAATGTAAATTTCTTCCCTGAGTAAGGACGAACAAGTTTACAACAATGAATTAGCAAGTTGTCTTTAGTACAAAGTTTACATTCTTTGTGCTATCTAAATACATTAATACTTAACGTTAGGTCTCAATACCCACATTTTTAGTTGGTCCAGGATACTCATTGTCTAAAATTATTGCATGGCCAGTACTTGAAATCTCTGTGATAAGAATTGTAAACATCGTGATCAATGAATGAGGGTTTATACACTTTAAAAGATTAGACTAGTTAAAAGGAGAAATTCAGAGTGTGAATAAAACTATAAATATTCGATATCATTACTGCTATAACTGAATCTTGAAAACCCAAGACTTATGATAAAATATTCCTCCAATTACGGTTATTTTACTCACTTTTTAATTACCGAATCTTAAGCGATATAGCTTGTTCTTTCCCAGTATCAATAGCCCAAGCTAGAAGTGTGCTTAACCCTTCTTTAGAGTAAGTAAGGACTACGAAAACTCAGACATGATGTCTGCCTCTTCCACTACAGAAAACAAGATTAGGAGAAAGAATAGAGCTAATATGACCATGAATAATCTGTATAAGTTCCAAAAGACTTCAAAAATTCTTCAAATTGGTAGGAATTTCCTCTAATTTTAGCTAACAAGGAAGTTCTTTTGGAGAGATTTGGACGACAGTTCAAGAAATTGGCCCAAATCGAAACAATCAATGAGCTGTTTGACAAAGCTCAGGATATTATTTCATCAACCGGTAATTAGCTTACCATAAGAATGATAATTAGGCGCATTTCTTACTGCTTGCATTTCTAGAGCCAGTTACTTGTTAAAATTTAATTCATATATCTTGCAACTCAACTAAACTCAAAATATAGTAAGTTTTCAAATCCTAAGTTATTTCAGGATTGCGAGAAGATCACCTTCTTGATCTCAAACAACAAGTTGCTCCACATGTATGAAGAAGAGAACAGAGGATACCTAAGCCATATGATCGTCAACAAAGAGCCCTTGTCAATTGTTTTCCCAGAAGAGAAATACAAGGTTGATAATAACATGCAATCTTATGAACAAGCACAGAGTAAAATTACTAAGAAAACCTTCAAGCCTTGCTTCAAAGACTATAAATCTGTAGCTAATGGAATCCAGGTGAAGAACCAGATAGCTTGCCCAATCTTTAACCCAAATTATGAGAAGGACCAGAACCAGAGCACTTTGGGGCACAGCCAGAAAGAAGATAGTCTTCAAAAGAGGTTATTTGCAGTTGTTCAAATTGAGAAGCCATCCATCAACGACATCTCAAACGTATTAAAATATCTTAATTATAGAACTCTCTTCCATTCTTGATCCTAAGAACAATTGCTAATTATCTCTCGCTAGCAATTACCAAAATAGTTGAGGAGAAAGAAAGTGTTCTAGATGAGGAAAGAGCTATCTCCATCCTCCACCATTTCAGGGATCTGACCCACTTGACTCACTTACGTATGCCTCTGATAATATTTCTAGCTGAGATTTGGGAGAGGATCACTGAATATATTCCAAAGATTTTCAACTGCAAGAGATGTGCCTTCTTCATTAAAGATAATTGAGAAGAAAATAAGGACGACGAGAAAATATGGACAATCACATCCCTAGGAGAAGATGGTATTATTGACAGTCATGTTTAGTGACAAGGAAGGAAATCAAGTTTATCAGAGGAAAAGTAGTCTATCCCTGCCATGTAGGCTACACTGGGCATGCAATCCAGACAAAGAAGCCACTATTCTATCTCCATCCTAAGCTTCGAGATATTGGATATGAGGAGCCAGAATGTATGATTGAAGAAGAAATAGACAATTTCTTCCAAGAAGCTGAACTTGAATGTGTCCTATTTTATCCTTTAATAGACCACAAAGGCAAGATGCAAGGAGTAATACAGCTTTCCAACTTTAATCATGGCCCTTTCAGTATCACCCAGAGGCAAATGAAGGAAATTGGCATAACTTGCGAGCTAATCGGTACATCACTCCACAATCTCAGAGAAATCACTGAAATAATGATATGCTGCACAAATCTATATGACAAGATTCAAGGAATTTATGAAAAGGTTGTCGAAAAACTTGCTGACTACCTCGAACAAATTGAAGGAGACATCATAGGTACTTCTTACAATAACCTCTAGAATCCATTCGTAACATTTCCACATGCGTAAAAGATATCTGTGATATCCAGAAGTATAAAATGTTTAAAGACAGAATCCTGCTCAATACCTATGCTGAATATGAAGTGGAAGAGAAAAGAAGGGAAAAGCTCAAAATAAAGATTCTCAGAAAGAATAAAAACAAGGAAGATACCAAAACTGATGCTACCAAATAATTTTACCAAAATTTCAAGTGGAGATAATGTATATGGGGTTTTGGGGTTTTGGGGTTTTGGGGTTTTGGGG